TAATTAATTATTATTTAAATAAATGTTTTATTATAATATATATTATAATTATACTTTTAAAATAAAAATAAAGTAAAAAAAATACATTTAGTAACTTTTAAAAAAAATAAAAATAATGTTTTAACTCATATACATTTTGAATTTATTGAAATTTATTATTTTATCTTTTTAACAAAATGTTCAACTCATATACTTTTATATTAATACATATTTTTTAATTAAAATAAATTACCTCAAATTTAGTAAATTACATCCTCCCACCATATTTATATGAAATACATTTGAGAACCCGTAAGTTTGAATGATTTAGCATTTATAGGACCCATTTTTGTGACCTGAATTTTTTTCTCTTTTTTTTTCATGAGACTACGAAGATTCTTTTTCTTTCTCTTTTAAATTATCCAAAGCCGTTAAATTCCTTCTCACACAAGCCCTCTGGCATCCCATTTGAAACATCCATGCCTTAACTCCTTCAAATCAACACCAAACTTAAAATTTCTTGCAGTAAATTATTGGGCATGCTTGATTAGGGAAGCAATTCATCCTATTTTCCATCCATTCGCGCATTTGAGATGAAATGTTGAGAGATTTTCAGGGTAAGTTCTTGCCTTTTCTCTCTCCAAACCCACATCTCCAATGTTGAAAACTTGAAAAAAAAGAGCTTCTAGCTATTGGCTGTTGTAGGCTGGATTCAACTATTTGAGGAAAATTCTTTGTCTTCTTGAGTGATTCTCGAAGATTGGAGGAAAAAACCTTGGAAGTCTTTTTATGGGTATGTTTGGCATTTGCCTCTCTCCATATCATGATTTTTCCTTCATTTACTTGCTTGATCGCTTGCTTGATCGCTTGCTTGATTGTAAGTAGGTTGTTATTTGTTGCAGGCTTTCTACCCAATTTCTTCAAGAAAAATGCAGAAGAGAATGAGTTAAGAGTTCTTTTGCCCCCATCTATTACAGTGTCCCTCCGTCCATGTTTTGCTATGTCATCTTCTAATTATGAATACCAAGAATGGATTTCAAGGTCTTTGTAATGTTTGACAGCCATTGATCAATTTCGCAGAGGTTTGAAGAGTTATAGAATGCAAAGGAAAGGTTTTACTTGATATGGGTTTTGTTGCTGAGTGTTGCTTCTTTCTGGCGTTGGTTAGATTTTTTATTTGTGCAAACTTCACTGTTTAAAGGCTTCTTCAAGAATTGTATTTGCTTTTACTATGGGGTATTCCTGCTACTCCTTATTAAAATAAACTCACTTTGATTGGCTGAAAAAAAAAAAATTATGTCTAGCTCATCTCTGACGGGCTCCAAATCGAGTGACGAGTTGAGCCGCTTGGGCACGGTCTGGAACACTCTCCGGCCGGTCATCCAGAGCAAGAAAGGCTGGTTGGAGGTGGTGAGGTATTTTCTGTAGCAACTCTTGAGGTGGATTACGGACTGGGATCCGGACACGAACCCGATGGTCCATCGAGCGGTCTTGGAGGATACGGATTTGTCGTCCTCCTCGGCCAGAAGGAACTTGTTGTGATGGCTGCGGAGCCGCACCTCCTTGGCGTTGTGGAAGAAGTCCATCCCTGAACGGATCTGATCAAAGTCTATCTGAAACGCAAAAACAAACGTAAAGAAAAAAGCCCCCTGCTAAATTTGACGAAATCTAACCATAACAGTTAAATTTGGATAATTTTTTGAAAATGAAAATTTGATATAGTAAATTACATCAATATCATTTTAGACGGTGATTTCCTTCAAAACAACAATTTTGAAAGGTAATTTGCACATTTAGCCTCTAAATGAATGGATTTCATGATTTTCTAATGTGTCATACTGTTATTAGTTAAATTTTAGTTGATTTATTTAAATTGAAAAGTATGTAAATTAATTTATTTTAATATAAAAATATAAGAGTTGAAAATTTAAAAAAATAGTAGAGGGGCAAATTTTAATAAGCTCAAAAAAGTATGTTGGTTAAAATACTTTTTCAATCAAAACAAAGTGGGTGGGTAACTAGTGGGAAAAAAAGGTGAATGGTGAACGGAAAAGGAAAAAGATACATTTATCCCATATTCAACTTCAGGGGCATGAAGGGGAGGGAAGGAGAAAGTTTTTAACCAATCAAATATTATAATTTGATTAGTAAAAAAATATTTTCCTTTTCTCTCCACCATTTCCCTTAACCTAAACATAGGGCTCATTTGATGTAGTGGTTTTGGGATAGTGATTGACAATTTTACCCAAACTGTTAAGAATAACTGTTTGATAAATTTATATATTTTGAATTCACTATAAATAAGGTGTTCGGTAAAAATTTTTATTTAATGGTTTGAAATTAACAAATAGTGATTAACGATTAAGGTCCAAACCACTAACAGATTGAAAAAACTAATTTAAGGCAGCCTTTGATAAAACGGTTTTAAGGTAGTTAACGGTAATACCACTGAATATAAATGTTTAATAAACTTATATATTTCAAAACCGTTACAAACAAAATGTTTGGTAAAAATTTTTATTTAGCAATTTAGGATTAATGGATAACAATTAGGGTTCAAACTACTAACAAATTAAAAAAGCTAACTTAGGTAGGTTTTTACACCAAACTGCTAGCGAATTGAAATTTTTTAATTTTATTGACAAATTTATCTTTTTTAATTTTTTAATTTTTGGTCACAATTTTTAATTAATATTTATCTAATAACTTTCAATTTTTTTTTATTTTTAATAACATTAAGTGATTATAACATTTTTTTAAAATTAATTTATCATAAAAAAATATATTATCTTAAAAAACAAAATTTACTAACTAGGCAAAATGATT